CATGCAAATTTATTATCTGAGAATTATATTTGGCAAGTGAGAATCAAGAATTCTGGTAAGTGTAATTATAAAAAGTATTTTTAAAGTACTTATAGGAGCAATTCTAGAGGTTGTATATTTGGGGAAGGATGCTACTCTGGATTGTGGTGGCAATTTAAATGTGCCTATTAGGAATAAGAAGTAAAAGATTATGATAAATTAGAGTTCAGATGTACTGGTCACTTGTGCTATATGCCAGATACAGTTATAATTATGGTTATAGAATGCATATGCTTTACCTCATTTCATCATTATAGCAACTCTGAGGTAAGTTTTATGGCAGTCCTCATTTTTCAGATAAGGAAACCAATGCACAAAAAGGTGAGATGACTTGCCCCAGGTCACATATTTAGTAAACACCAAAACTCAAATCCACTGTCTGGTACGAAATCAGTGTTCTTAACCACTGTTCTGTACTACTTAGAATATGCTTTGAGGAATATTAAAAAGTGCATAGATATGTGGTGCATTTTCCTCTCCTAAAGTGTGAGCAGAAAGTTCTGTAGCAATGTCTGATCAAAAGAGAAGTATGGCCAGGCCTGGTGGCACATGCCTATAATCCCAGCTATTGGGACACTGAAGCAGGAGAACTGCAAGTTCAGGGCTTGCCTGGTCAACTTAGCGAGACCCTGTCTCAAATAAATGAAAAGGGGTGAGGATGTGGCTCAGTGGTAGAGCACTCCTGGGTTCAATCCCCAGCACCACAAACACAAAAGAAAAAAAAACCCACAAAACAACAACAACAACACAAAACAAGCAATATGGTCTTCAGGTAGAAATACACTTTTATAATTTTGAAGTGTTTTTCAATAAGTGATAAAACTGATTTGTATAAAACAGAGAAAACAAATAGATATTTTATGTATTATGATGTTTTTTAGCTTAGGAAGGAAAATTATTTCTAAGAGAAAAAAACTTATTACTTGTACTGTGTACTCAGACCCTATTCTATGGAATATAAGACCTTTATTACTGTTGATTATTTTAAGAGAACACTGGACTTTTTTTGGCTTAAGTGATGAAAAATACATAAGGAGTCATTTGATTTAGAGATCAAACCTCCAAGGTGACTTATGGCAGTCCTCACTTTGGAGGTGAGAAAACCAAAGCACAGAAAGGTTAGATGGAAAGGACAATAATGGTGCCCCAGGCACGTTTTTTTTTCATATGATCTAGCCACTTACCTTTTTAAATAGGTTTTTCTTTTTAATGGCAACTTTAATAATTATAACCAATTGTATTATATTTTGCTATGTAATATGAATTATTTCTTCTATATAGTGATTAAAACATTTTAAATTAAGAAAGTGGATAAAATAATTGTCACTTCGATGGCTAGCACCTGTGAATGACTTCCTTTACCTGAATGTCTGTTCACAGTTTCCTACTTGCCTTAAACAAAACAAAATAATTATATACAGCCATCTTAGATTACCATAATTTGGAGAAATATTTGTACTTATGCAGTTGAACTGTTTGATACCATGTTTTGTTTAATTCCTATTTATGGCATAAACAGTATTAAACAAAAACATCTGTATGTAAGACAAGGACATAATTTTAAATAGCAAACTTTAAGATCTAATTATTAAAATACATAATCAAACCAACATGATTTATGTTACTGTGAATTATATTGCCATGATGTAGTTTTTAAAATTTTAAAGCAATGATAAGCAGGAAGAAATTGCTCAGGAGTGTTTACTAGTGGGCAACTTCCCTCAGCTACCTCTTTTCCCATTCCCTATCATGGTCTACAAAAAACAGGAAAATTGCCCTTAGATAAGAAAAAGACTACTTATTTCAGGAAAGTCACCCAGGTTCTCTTGTAAGTACAAAGCCTGCTCTATCACTTGCTGTCTTAAAAGCCAGTGCACATTTTAATTTGCAGATGGCATTGATTTCTTGAGATTGACATAACACAGAAACACAAGTGTTCCAAGCCTTAACCCCTCATTAGACAAAACTTTCTAACCAACATGATTTCATTTTTGGCATTCCATTAGAGGTGAAGTATGGAAGCTGTTCAAAGAATGTAGCTGAATGTGTATGTATGTGTTTGAGAACAAAGAGCCATACTGAAATTACAAAGTGACTAAAATAGAATTTAGTAACCCAAATTGGAATTTGGCTGGAATTCATGAGGAATTATTATTCTTTATACACTCTGACAGTGAGATTTTTTAACTGAGGGCAGGTGCTCACATTTTGCCAATGATGAGCAATCCTACAGCAGAGCAAAGAGGGGAAACAGTATTTTTCTAAATGTTTTCTTAGGGTATTAAATAAAAACTACTAAGGTAAGAAGTTCAGTGCTTTACATAGAGAGTAAACTATACAGATAATTTTATTTGTAACCCCATGTGTTAAGAAGGGACACTGTAAAGTAACAATCAATTAGAAAGCGACAGTCAACAAACCAGCATTTAATTTGGTATTTTAAATTAATAATTAAAAATCAAATGGAGCAGTGCTTAAAGTAACTAAGATAATTCATGACAAACACCATTAATTCAAGCTCTAATTATTGGAAATATGATAATTCGACATGGGTAACTTAAATGTACCAGTAGAGATAGAATAAGGGAATATGTTAGCAAAGTATTAAATACGTTTTCAGGGAGCCTCTAAAATTATCTTTAAGAACCTTAAAACTAGTTCTCTATATGCAAAAACTGATTAACTACAAATTTCTTTGAAGTTCTTTCATACATGACCTTATTTGAAGCAATGCATTTGCAAAATTCATGTCAAGAAAATATTTTTGAATTATTTCCCAGATCACTAGTTTGAATAGTCACTCCAGAGATTTGTCTCAATTTCTATTGAAAACCTACGCTTTAATGAAGACATGCTTCTGAAAATAAGGCAATTTTTCTACAATCTGCTTATGAATAGAAAACAAATCTTTGGTTTTTAGTTAAAGTGTCAGGAAGGGCTTTGCAAAAAGAAATACTAAATAACCAAAACAATTAAAAAGCTCTTAATAAGCAATGGGAAACTCCAACCCCATCAAGGTCAATAGAGTACCTAAGGCACCTCAGGTGCGGATGATTCAGTCATCTCTGTTTAGAGTTCTAATAATCTATATACATGATTCTGACCATCTGGAGAATGTGAAGTGAAAAGGTGATGTCCAACAAAGATTACTGTGAATTAGAAAGAAGAGAATGATAAGAACTGATAAATGGGAGAGACACTGGAGATCATCTGTTCTACTTCCCATATTTAAATAAGATGAGGAAACTGAGGCCCAGTCAAGAAACAGGTGATACACCAGCTTGCATTTCCAGATTCCTAATCCATTTCTCTTAGGGAAGAATATATTCTAGATTTTAACTTTCAATGCCAAGAAAACCAAGTGTGAATGGTTTCAGAGATGTAAATTTGGAAAAAAAAAAAAATCTCCATCAAATCCCCAAAGGCAACTTGGAAGTGTATAATACTTTACTGTCTTAATTCCTCTATACCATGTGTCTAGCAACTTAACTAATATGTTAATTGATTTATACAATCTCTTTTGATTCTAACTAAAAGGATGAAAATTAAATGAGAAAATTACAGAATATTCCATTCAATACATAAGGCCATGACAATGTGAACCACTATTTCTTGTAAGAAAGAAGACATCCAATCAATACCCAATTCCACGAGAAAACACCTGTTATCCAATAGACTCTCCACTCTTCAAAGAGGAAGATGATGCTTATATTTTAAAAAATCTCTACAAAGCTCACATACAAGACAGTACATTCTAGATTTGTGACTGATATGAGCATTTAAGGCTGTAAATTTCAAGTATAAATGTTTATAGTGTTCCATTACCCAATCGGTGCGCTAGACAGAGCTTTAAGCATAAATCCTGGAAGTTAACAGAAACCCACCAAAGACATAGAAAGCATAGTTTAGGCAACAGCAAGTTTAAATGTAGGAAAGGCCAGGGAAAAAATTATAGATTAGATTATGCTTCTCTAAACTGCATTAGGTGGTTCGTGCTGAAGCTGTGTCTAACACTACTGTCGGTTACATGGCAGATCCATAGCAGACCAAACAAGGAAGTTGAATTAGGTAACAATCAGTTAATAAGATGGTTCACCTCTACCACAGTTCTCTGGCCTGTTTCCACAGACAAGATTAGAAATGGCTCCAGTACACCAAGCTTTACAGATGAAAATGAAGATTTGTTTCCAACTGTTTTTTTTTTCTTTTTCTTTTTTCTTTTTTTTTCTTTTTTTTAAGCAGAGCCTTTCAACTAGGGACTAAAACATATTGCCTGCAGATAAACAAGTCAACATTATTTACTACTGGCTTAATGTTATATTGTGAAATGTAATACAGCTGGAGAAAGTGAGTATTTGGAAGCCAGTACTATTTTGTTTAATTTACACTCTAGGTGTGTACATAAAAGCTGTGGTTTATAACTTTTGCTATGGTTCCAATATCTATATCTGAAAGGTGATATCAATTTTATTGTGGAAGCAGCTGCTCTATTATAAATTTCATGTAACATGCTTAGATTCTAGGTCTTTCCTCTTTAATACAATTTACTTCCTTGTGGTTTGGTCAGCATACATACTTTTATTTCATTTGATGTATACAGCCAATGTGGGAATTTTTAAAAAATTACCAGCTAGTTCAGAGAGCTAAACTGAGTCCAGGATTATGGCAAAGTCTGACCCAAAATTTTAACTTGTAATTTCAGCATGTTTCTCATGCAGTTTGGGGAGCATCAAACTAAATCTACAGTTGTCAGAAGCCTTGTTACAGTTTAATGCACATTAACTAAAATGTGTACATTTTTAGTGTCATGATAAATGCAGTTATGACCTTATTACACTTTTGGCATTCTTTAAGAAAGCACATTAAGCTTTAATATAGAAATATTTAGGTTACACTTAACTTGTGCTCAAGTAATAATAAAACATTTGTTCTTTTTTGATCTCATACATTTTTTTCCTCAGGTTTGGCCCATCTCCTGTACGCTTGGAGCGACCTTTGGCTACGTGGCTGGCCTTGTTATTTCACCACTCTGGATATACTGGAATAGAAAGCAACTTACATACAAGAACAATTAATTAGAGCAAAGGGAGAAGATATTTCTTTGTGCAGATTCCACAGGGCTGTGCAGAAATGTGTGTGGTCAAAGCCAAGCAGTTCCATTTACAGCACTGTTTTTTTTTAATGTAGTTTCAACATGATGTGATTGTAGCTTTTTAAACTATGAAACCCCTGAGAGATTGTACCTTCTAGTTGAAATAAAGTATTTATAATAGATTGTGGCTTCAGATGCTGTTTGCTGCTTCTTAGACCTTTAAGAAACATTCTTAATGAACTTGATAGAATTCTGAGGACAGTTGTTTTTTTCTTTCAAGTTTTAAACTGCTTCATAATCTATGAGAAGTCTGATAAGCTGTACCATTTCACACACTTTCTGAGAGAGATTGAGTTTCCTTGGCCACTGAAGATGTGTCTCACGTAATCAAACAACAGTTTATACATCTTGATCCTATTCTTTTTTTAACCGTGTGTTTCTTTGGAGTTAAAATGGCTATGATAGCCTCATCGAAAACAGTCTTCAGTCCCTTCTGGGTTAAAGCTGAACATTCCACATAGCAGCATGCTCCTATCTGGGAAGGAGAAAAATACATTACAAATATATAAAATTGTATTACATGCAATTGGTATGACACATCTCATTATAAAGAAAATTGTAAAATATAGCTATGCAACAAGAATGATAAACTCATTATCCATATTTATAATACCAAGAGGTAGCCATACTAGTGTATGTCCTTCCAGATGTTCTTTATGAAAAATTCTTTCATTTATCAAATATTTATGGTTACCTACTATGTGTCAAACACTGTTTGGGTGCTGGAGATACTTCAGTGAACTGAACCAAAAAGCAACGGTGCCCTGCTGTGTGGCACCTACATCTTCCATGGAGTAGAAGCAGACAAAGAAAGGAATATAGCGCAGATGGTGGTAAATGCAGAAAAAACAGAGTGAGGGAGGTGGGAGTGCTGAGGATGGCAGTGGTTGGGGAAGGTTCTCAACAGGCCAAGTTTGAGCAGTGAGGCCTACCAAGGGAGATAGCTCCAGAGAGATGGGCCACAGACACAAAGACTGAGTTGGAAGCAGGCTTGGAGCATTCCAGAACAGTGAGGGAGCCAGAGTAGCAGCAGACCGCATCAGGGAGTGTAAGAGATTCGATTGTAAGAACTTGCATCTGACTCCTAAATGAATTTGAACATTCCTATCTTCAGTGTAATCTGCATTTTTTGGTGAATTTTCTATCAATGTCCTTAGCCTGTTTTTCTATAGGGGTATATTTACTTTTCTGATGAATTCACTTTATACAGGGGGTTCCTATATACTAAAGAAAGTTAATGAATTTTACTGCTACATACATCAAGTTTGTTGTGTGACTTTTAATTTCTGGCATTTGATATAGTATTAAATTTTTATGTAGCTAAATCTTCAATAACTTCATTTATGACTTTTATCTTTATGGTATTTAGAAATTCTTTCTTCCCCCATGAGTACGAAATTGAATATAAGGAATTCCTAAAATGATTTGTTAGTGACACCATTTACATTTTTTCTTTGAGAAAAAATTGTCCCCCAGAAAGTTTTCCTGCTTTCTTTTGCCTCCTAATAGTACATTTTCAAAGACCTTATTAGATTCTGTTTCCACAGAAGTCCTATTAAAGTCACAATTTTAAAAAAATAGAATCCAATAATGGTAGGACTGACTGGAAAAAAAGGAAACCTAGCTTCAGGATGAGGAAGAATGTAAGTTAAAAGGCTTATGTATGTTATATATTTTTTAGAAATTGGGACATAATTTTATGATTGTAGCCACAGATTTAAATTGGCTTTCTCTGTCACTCTACCAGCTAACTCCAGAGTCTTAACTGGAAACAGTCTGATCTGGCACAGTTCAGATGTTTAAGTAATTATCAGGGGCTTGAAGTCTCAGCACCGGCTTCTGATGCTTCTTCTTGTGTGCCTTTTAAAGAAAATACTGTAGGCAGGGTAGCATAGGTAGAAGAGCCTGGTCCCTGAAGTCAGGCTTTGGAGTGAAACCTGACTCTGCTACTACTGCTGTGGGGCCTTGGGCAAATTCCCTGCCATCTCCAAGCCTCTGCTTTCTCTTTGCAACAGGGGTACAGTCAAACCTGGCTCGCTGAGTTGGCACAAGGGATAAACGAGATCATGCATGTCAATCAATCAGCAGATGAACCAGCATACCATAAATGCTAGTTAAGAGTTAGCTTTTACTATGATCTTTACAGTTATTTCTAAATTCTGCAAATATTCCATTACCTCTTTTGCTAGTTTCTGTCCTTGTTCCACACATATAGGTTTTTCTTTCATATCATTCAGTCTTGCTAAAGTTTTGGGGTCATCTCGGAGATCAATCTAGTTAAGAAAAATCAATAATGTCCCACAATATTACAAGTCTTTAAAGAGAAATCAATGCATATAGTCCCATTTGATCCCTCTATACCCCCCCCAAAATCAATCAATCAATAAAAGAATTGAACTTTTAAAAACTACCAATATAATTGTTTTCATTTGGCACTACTTTTTCCAAAACTAAGAAGTGACTTATTAACTTGCAACTGAGATAAACACACATATATTATTTGGAAACCTTGGACTATTTGAGAGCAACCCCCAAACATTGGTAAAATCAAAGGAGACATACCTGAGTTCCTATTAATAAAAAGGGTACATTTGGTGCATATTCCTTAAGTTCTGGTACCCATTCCTCTTTCACATTTTGAAATGAGGCTGGGTTTACCACAGAGAAGCATATGAGGAAGACATCAGTCATTGGATAAGATAAAGGCCTCAGACGATCATAGTCTTCCTAAGGAAAAGAAAGACAAAACTCACTGTTCACATTTACATGTCTACAGTCCACAATGAGATGTATATCAGATCCCATGGCCAACGAAGCAAGTCAGGGGTACTCCACAGATGCAATGTATGGCACTCTACATAAAGCAAGATAGTTCCACTTGTTTTTATTATTTCTCTTTTTTAAATTATTTTTTATATATTTATTTTTTTAATTGTAGTTGGACACAATACTTTTACTTTATTTATTTATTTTTATGTGGTGCTGAGGATCAAACCCAGGGCCTCACAAGTGCTAGGTGGGGAGTGCTCTACTGCTGGGCCACAACTCCAGCCCTTTTTAATTTTTTAAATATATTTTTTGGGTTTTTTTTTATGTTGTTTCTCTTTTTGAAGTCCTGAAAACCAGTGGGGTAATATTATGAGAGTATCATTAAAAGACTCAATGAAAAAAGAAAATTCATTTTGATTACTAAAGTTGTCACTGGGAACCTTTTTAACTGGAAAGTCTACACAGAGAATTGAGGAGAACTAGACACTGAATATCATAATTTAATAACATATCCTGAATATTTACTTATACGTCAAGTACTGATCAATAGGGTCTTTCATAGATTACCTAATCCTTGTAACAACTGTATAACACAAGTACCCTTATTTTTTTTTTTTTATCCTTTTGTATAAGTGGAGACACAGAAGGTAAGTAACTTGTTTTAATGATATACAGCCATAAGTAAAGGAACTGGGATTCAAACCCTAGCAGGTTTGACTCCAGAGCCTCATCTTATCTATACGCCTCCAATAAGACCTGCAATTTTTGCTTTCTATGTAGTTTTCATAATTGTGTGTGTGTGTGTAAGAGAATTTAAAGAGAAATATACACTGTAAATCCTAAAAGCCTCCCTTTTCTCCCCAACTTTCATAACCTTTCCTAATTTTTTTCATGTATATCCATCTAATTCTTTTTCTAAGCATATATATACCTGCAACTATATATGTTCAGTCATCTGGACATAAACTAGATCACGCAGCACATGTTATACATATCTCCCTTGCTGAGTCTATCTTGGAGATCTCTCCAAACAGAGCCCCCTGGACCATCACATTGTTTTAAACTGCTGCTGCTTAGTTATCTTTCTGGAAGGATTTTTAGTCTCTGTCATAAAAGGCAGTGAATGTCCCATTTTGCACAGACTGTTCTGTGTGGCACAAAATTCTGCTTTTACATTCTAGTGAGGTAACAGAATCAGAATTCCACTTTTTTCATTGGTAGACTCACATCTGGTTTCAAGGAAACTTTTTGGCCTAGGACACCTGCCCTCTTAAATGACCTACTTAAGTACAAAACACCACAAACATAAAACTAAGAGAACATTAAAATATCTTCCATTCAGTGTTTAGCAGTACTATTTCCTTCATAGGACAGTTTTTATTTCATATTACCATCTGATAATTCTTACTATAATTTTCAACTCAAGCATACAATAATCCCCGAGTATCTGTGGGAGACTGTTTCCAGGCCCCTGATCAAATGTTCACATTCCTTAAACAAAATAGCATAGTATTTGCATATAATCTCCACAATCCTCCCATATACTTTAAATGATCTCTAAATTGCTTATAATACCAAGTACAATTCAAACACTGTGCAAATCATTGTTATATGTACTGCTTAGGGAATAATGATAGGGGAAAACGTCTGCATATGTGCAGTACAGATTCTTTTAGCCCCAAATATTTTCAAACCTCTGTTGGTTGAATCTGCAGACATGAAACCTACAGATATGGGGGGCTAACTGTATTCATCTTAAACTCTTGGAGGTTAACCCTTATGTTTTATTACAAAGGTTTACACCTATATCCTGGAGTCATGGGTACTAAAACATTTCTCAGGTGATGGCTATCTTGTGACAATGGAGAAATGCCCTCCCCAAGCTTCTATGCCCTTTATTTTTAAAGTGAAGGTCTCGGGAGGGGAGGGGGGATAGTAGAGGATAGGAAAGGCAGCAGAATACAACAGACACTAGTATGGCAATATGTAAATCAATGGATGTGTAACTGATGTGATTCTGCAATTTGTATACGGGGTAAAAATGGGAGTTCATAACCCACTTGAATCAAAGTGTGAAATATGATATATCAAGAACTATGTAATGTTTTGAACAACCAACAATAAAAAATTAAAAATAAATAAATAAATAAATAAATAGTTTTATAGCTAAAAAATAAATAAATAAATAAATAAAGTGAAGGTCTCTAGTTGGTTTTTACTAAAGCTGTTCCCTGGTGTTAAGGCATTATTAATGAAGAGATCAAGTAGAATGGGTATGGGACACATCACACCTCAGTCAGTTACTATCAAAGAACTAGTATTAAAAAACATAACATGTTTTAAACTCCAGTTTGAGTGGCAAGT